TGAATTGATAGTTACCAATGTTATATTAAATATAACTTGACCATAACAAACAACAATTACAAATTCAATCAATTTCCAGTAAATTATTTTATTTCTTATTTTGTCTTGAATAAGAATGTCTATATGTGAAAGTATTTCAAGGAATTATCATGATCATGATCATTTCAAATCATAATAGAAAGCACATATTATTGATTTAAGCATTCACCTTGAATAAGTGAATGACACATGATTGTATTCTAATTTATTATTGTATTCAATCTACATATGTAACATGATCATAAGACATTTATTACAAGTGGTATTTCCTACCTAAAAAAAACAAACAAACAAACAAAGTAAACGAAACAATAATGAATGATTTTCAAATGTTCTTATTGTAGTCTACCTTTAAATTGATTTATGAAGTGAATGATTAAAATAATAACAATCTTTACAATATTCTCTTTCTGATGATATGAATCAATATATGCTCACTGGTGACTAGGTTCAAGATGGATTTGGTGGAGTTCTAGTGAGAAGCCATGACGAGTGGAATTCAACCAGGTCCGTTGTGAGATATCAGCTCAATGAAGACAATGGTGGATGCGTCGGTCAATTTCGTGGATTAGTTGAAGTTAGATATTACCACAATTGGGTGCCGGCTGGTTCAGTGGTCTAGTGGTTAAGCGCTCGCGTGGGAGACTGATTGGTCCTAAGTTCGAATCTCTTAATTTCGTAAAAAACACCTCTACCACGAGAATGCAATGAGTAGGACTTGTCTGGCAGTGGTTGTATGCTCGTAACCACTTGAGAGCACTTGGAGAGGGAGCGCTGACTCTCCCAACTCTCGGCGGTACCAGGGCAATTTGAGAGTAAATCATTCTTCTTCTCTATTCCTAACCTCAAGTTTAAACTTCTAACTCTACATCTGAAGCCAAAATCTTCATGTTAACTTAAACATTTATATTCTTTACATCATTGTCAGGATTATTTACATTCTCATTGAAAAATCTTTTGAATATAATTCTATCATTATGAACAGAGATAGATGATAACTAGCAGTGGAATTCAAGATAACAATTTCTTATCTTTATTTTATTAATAACTTACGCCTGTTACTCCTCGCGAAGGAGCATAGGCTGCTCACCAGCACTCTCCATCCAACCCTGTCCTGGGCATACCTTTCCAGCTCATTCTAGTTCTTATTCATCCTTTTCATATCCGCTGCTATTTCCCGACGTAATGTGTTCTTTGGCCCTTCTATTTTCCGCTTCCCTTCAGGATTCCAAGTGGGGGCTTGCCTCGTAATGCAGTTTGATGATTTCCTCAATGTATGTTCTATCCATTTCCATCGTCTTTTCCTAATTTCCTCTTCAGCTGGAAGCTGGTTGGTTCTCTCCCAGATAAGGATGTTGCTGATGGTATCCGGCTAATTGATGTTGAGTATCTTGCGTAGACAGCTATTGATAAATACTTGTACCTTCTTAATGGTGGTTGTTGTAGTTCTCCACGTATCAGCTCCGTACAGTAGAAGGAAATAAATTAAACCAAACTTTAATTGACACTTTACCGTTTACAAAACTGATATTTTGATATAGCAATAATAATAATTATTATTATTGTATGGTATAATATTTAGGAATGTGTAAATTAACGTATTGATATATAGATTGTATTCAAATATTATAAAGTACATTTAGGTTACCTTCAAGTAGTATATATACAAATGAAATGATATACTTTTCAAGGTTATATTCGTTACATATTACAAATAAATATATGTAATTTAACAACTAAAACTACTAAATTCTCCACAAACATCCCATGTTGATCTTAATAACGACTAACTTCAAGATCGATTTCCTGGAGTTTTGATGAGAAGCTGTGACCAATGGAGTTCAATCCGTGTCGGGTAGAGACAGGTATCCCCTTCAGACAATAGATGAATGGTTGCATAAGATCATAGAATAATTGAAATTACACATTAACACCGTTGGATGCAGTGGTTGTGGTCTACAGTTTAAGCATGCGTGTGCAAGACCGAAGGTCCTGGGTTTCAGTCCCGCATACAGGATTGTGCATGCACACTAATGAGAAGTCCCATACGAGGATGAAACGGCTATCCAGTGTTTTTAGCTTTTCCATGGTGTGCTAGATTACATAGACTCATCAATTCAACAATTAAAATATTTAATTCACACAAACTATTTATCCAATTACTGAATTGTAACTTTAAGCCACTTAAAATGCATATAAAGACGATTATTCTCATTCACTCAGTCAGTCAGTATCAACGTGGAACTTCGTACGTACGTACATCAGTTCGAGTTGCCATACCACATTAGAACAAAGATGCAGTTGTCGATACAAATCCTGTAGTAATAGAGGTAGTGAAAGTATAAGCAGTAATCAGAAACATTAGGGTTTGAATATGTTAATCAAACAGCATAATCCAGTGAAATAAATTCGGAAAGAGAAGAAAAAGAATATGAAGAATTCAGAAGATTAGAATTTGGGAGAACACAAAGAGTGGATTCACCTGCGCCACTGCAAATGATTTCGAGACATGTCATTCAAGGTCTCTAACCATCAGTTGCTATTCTCATTAAAGTATAATTATTCATTAGCTATTGACATTCTTCAGTTAATCAGTGAGATGAATCAGGTTTCCAGAGGTAACAACGAGATTTGATCATAATCAGTAATTGTTTTTTTTGTAAGACAAGCTCGCTGTTATTATTGTCAAAAAAACAGACAAATCCAGTCGATCAGTTCAATATCTTGGTGAAAATCCATACGCTGAGCAGGTATATAACATTGTGAATGCCTTAAATGAAAAAAATAACCTTTTGTGCAAGAAACAATGAAGAATAAGTATCTCACCACAATTCAAGCTTGTTAACAACAAATTGAAGTTTTTAAGCACAGATGGATAGTGGCTAGCAGTGAAATCCAGAACGCGCGTTTCCCCCTATTTGGAGCTCGTCAGCTGAATGTACATGCATCCCAGTGTTGATGTTCACTCCGGGACTTGAACCCAGTACCGTTTGCCTTAAACGTCATTGCGTTCTCCATTTAACTACTGAGTCCTCACAGCCACCTGCTTGTGCAACGGGGTGAAGTTACAATTCACTTGGTATTGCTTTACTTGTATTTAAAACTGCCATTGACAAGCCCAAAATAGAACGAAATGCGCGTCCTGGATTCCACCACTAACTACTATCCATCTTTGTTTAAAAAGCTTGTGACGTAAGGCTAAATCGAGGTAATCCACATAGGATGTACATATGTCAACATGAGATTGATTAATTGCAGTCCTAAATGACAATGGGAAGATACAAATAAAACAACATCAAGTGAAATAGAAAAGTTTATTGTGGTAGAGCGAAAATCGAGGATATTGTAACTTTTGGAATAATGTTACAAACTATTACTGTTAATAATTTGATTACATAATTATTATATGATTAAATGACTGAATTACAATATTTCTAGCCTTGTTAGCTTCCATTAGATCTATCAACTATTGTAATCATGTACAGTTTGCTCTAGTCTCTACCATTCATGGTAAGATTGTATGTTAAACATTTCTTATTTCAGATGATTATTTAAGACGAAGATACTATGTGCTTGGAATATAAACATAGTAGTTTGGATGCAGTGTTCTCTTATCTGAACTTAAATATCGATGAGAGAAAAAGGGGCTTACATTAGTGGACCAATAAAAGTCATGATTATTTTGTCAGAGCTCAAGGTTACTTACGTAAACTGTTACATTCGGATTTGAAAAGAATATATTAGGATTTTTATTGGTGCTTTCCCAGTAGCTGTCGACTAAGGAAATGCAGGCTAAAAAGAACCATAATAGATTTATGTTAAAATCCCTCTCCCTATGCGTAGTATAAACGAGCTCCTCGTTTTCTAAAGAAGATAAGAAAACTTGAGTAGCAAAACTCTTCTTAAGGCTGAAGCCAGCAAAGATTTAGACAAGGACTACGTAAAAACTAAAGCGTTGCATCTAACTGAACACCACATAAGTACATTTCCTTCTTGCGTCATAACTGCACCAACAAGATGTAGTCTAATCTGTCAGATAATCGAATAGTGAATCGCTTTATTTCACCACACTGGCTTTGTCGTTGATGTGGTTTTAGAGATAACACTTTCCTCATCTAAATTTCCAAGAGTTGAACTTCTACCGGGAGATTCATTTGTTGACTTAGAATATGCCGATGACATAGTTATATTTGGTGAACACTGACAAAATGCAGTCTTCTGACCACTCTAAGCAACAATGCAAGCATGTTCGGCATGCGATTCTCTCTCTCGAAATGCAAAATGTTACTTCAGGACAGGGTTGCATCTACTCCCTAATTAATGATAGGAAATGAAGTAGTTGAGCGTGTCGACCGCTTCACTTATCTTGGAAGTCTCATCAGCCATTGTGGTCTGGTGTGTGACGAAATCTCGGCACGAATACAGAAGGCTCGACTAGCTTTTGCCAACTTGCGTCATTTGTGGCGTAGGCGAGATATCCGTCTATCAACCAAAGGACGGGTTTATTGCGCAGCAGTTCATTCTGTTCTACTTTATGGCAGTGAAACGTGGGCGGTAAGAGTAGAGGATATTTGTAGGTTACTAGTATTTGATCATAGGTTTCTTCGAAACATTGCTCGTATATCCTGGGACCACCGAGTAAGCAATGCAGTTGTTAGGAAACGGGCACTACGTAAGGATGGCAAATCAATTGATGAAGTAGTAAAACTTAATCAGTTGAGATGGCTGGGAAATGTGTTACATATACCCAATTATCAACTGTCCCGACGTGCGATGTTTTATGGTGTAGGATTAGGTTGGAAGAAAGCTAGGGGAGATCAGACCAAAACAAGGCATTAATCCATGAAGTCAGTGACAAGTGGATTGAACTATAGTGGTGGGTGTAGACTATCTGGTTTGGGGACCGCGAGACGATAGTAACTCTAATCTTTTGAATTCTTCATATCCTTTATTTTCTTTCTAAATCTATTTCAATGAATTATACTCCTTGAATAACATCTTTAAACCCTAATCTTTCCAATTCCTGCTTATACTCTTACTACCACTACCACTATGGAATTTGTATCGATAACTGTATCTCTGTGTTAATATGGTATGATAACTCGAACTGATGTACGTGCGTACATATATACAAAGTTCTACATTGTTACTGACTAACTGACTGGATAGAATTCGTATAGACATACTTAAATCTTATATGTAGGATAATAGATCGAAACATAGAATTAGATAAACAATCTAATCAATCCATATCATAAAAGAAACTTCGAAAAAAAAAAAAAGAAAAAGAAAAGAAAACAATAATAATCATAAAAATAAAACAGATTCAAGAAAAAAATGAACACAATTATAGAAGTTTTTATTTTTTTTTTGCATTTATTATTATTCTAAATAACAGAATGAAATCTTTTCACTTAATCTTTTCATTCAATTTGATACTTTTCCTTTAGAAAAAAGAAGTAAATCCATCAACAGAATTATCTTTTAGATCATTGAAATGATCTTCAATAGTTCTTGATGAAATGAATGAAGAACAAGATAAAACAAACAATCACTAATCCAAATCATCATCATCATCATCATGATCATTCTTCTTTGTAATGAACAAACAAAACATTTCCATAGTATACCATCTACAATTTTTTTTTTATAGAAATAAGTAAATAAATCAATGTATCTATCTTTGAAGAATAAAAAAATGTTTCTTTTTTTTTTGAACAGAGAAAAAAGTTTAACACCAATGAAATGAACAAACAAACACATACACACAGAGTGAGAGAGGGGGGAGAGAGAGACCAAACACAAGAGGAACAAAGACAAAACCATATTATTCAACCTGTATACACACATTATTGAATAGAAGAACAACAAGAAAAAGAAGAAAAAAGTGTAGATTCATTTAATGGTCTATGTGTAGAATTCAAATCTACACCTAAACATTCCATGTCTAACATAAAGACTAACAATACAAATAGATCTTTAAAAAAACAAAGAAAAGAAAAGAAAAGAAAAAAAAGAGACAATAAAGAAGAGATAAGTAAAATTGTGTTGATCATATTGTTGTTGCGTATAAACGTGTGTATGTGCCTGCGTATATATATATATGTGTGTGTGTGTGTCCGTGTCTGTGAGTCAATATATATGATAGTGGGATTTGAATTATAAATGGGACGAAAAAATAAAACTGTTAAATAATAGGAAAAATGTGAATTTATCCATTGCACACTTATGTGCATATGTGTGTATATATGTATGTTGTATGTGTAAGTAAATGTACAAAGTTGACTGTGTAACAAAAGATAATAATAATAAACCAAAAACAAGTACACAGTGTTTGCAGTAATTATACCATACAATTACATCATACATACATCATATATATTTATATATTTTATGAATATTCTCAAGAAACAAACAAACAAACAAAAATAGAGATGGGGTGGGGTGGGTTGGGTTGGTGAATTCGATTATTTGACATTTCCTTTATTCAACGTAATTCTAAAGTAAGTGTTTCTTGTGGAACAAGATCTAAATTAGCTAAAGTCATATTTTCATCCATTAAAGTTAACTGTAATTTAAATGAAGGAAAAGAAAAGAGGTTCATTGAAATATTTGGTTAATATTATACAGTAAAGATATTATCAATAGTTAAAAGCTTACATTAACATATATAACATATGTTAATATGTGTAAATCATGAACTGATTTTAAGATACATCACCAGTGAAAAAAAAATGAAAGCACTGGATAGTTGTTTCATCCTAGTATGGGATTCTTCAACAGTTCGCATCTATAACCAGCGCTGTCTGGGGATCGAATCAATTATCTTCGGTCTCGTACGCGAACGCTTAACATCTGGACCACTGACCTAGCACATTCAATGGTGTTAATGTCCAATTTTAATTAATCCACAGTACTGTAAAGCACTCACCCATTGACCGAGGTGGATAACTGTCGCATACCCAACATATTTACTTATTAATTTGAACACATAAATATTGGTACAAGGTGGCACTAGATATATATGCGCCACAGGCATTCCCGATATGGTGGGACGGCAATAGTCACAGATTCTCGTTACAACTCTAGGATTAGCATTACTAGTGAAAAATGATACCGTAGATTCCAGGATCAGCAACGTTCAGGTGTCCTATACTTATTATCCTTTAACTATGGTCGGTTCGTCATTCCAATCAAAATCAATAATCTCCATAAATCCCCCTATAGTATTAACACAATTAAGTGTATGTATTTGGAAAGATCGACTACGGTGATCCAGTAAAGTTGTTCCAACAATGTAATTTACACATGACACTTGTTCGGTTGAATCACGATTAAAAGAAAACTATTACTAAGTGGCCAGTCAATTGTAAATATCTGTCCTATAGGAGGTCAGCCGTCGATCGAATTGCCCAGTGATAATGTCTTATATTTTGAATTTGAGTGATATGGTTTCCAATCTCACAAATAGCACTAATCCGCATAAGATTACAGGTACTTCTATCTGATGATTACTATCGTGTACGAAACCTAGATTCAGGGTTTGATTTTTGATGTGATTGCGGGTGCGTATATACAGATACAAAAAGGAAAAAAATACTGTTCAGTGTGCACTTTCGTTTACAATATTTGTCTAATCAAAGTTATCCAGATCTGTAAACCGAGATCTTTGAATCCAAAAATTGGTACGGGTTTAGTCATGTAAATAATCTTCAAATAAGTTGTTACAAGTATACATATAACAGTTCTGAAAGTAGCGTTTAGATTAAGTAACCTGCTATATTACAATGCTGAGGTTAGACAAAGCATACTTGGTAGAAGTCGGAGACTGGTAGATGATGTAAATCAGTATCAACTGCGACGATTAGGATATGTTTTATGTATGCCTAACCACCACCTACTTCACCGTACGGAGTTCACTAATGTAGAATTAAATTGCAAGAAAGCTAGGGAAAATTAAACCAAGATATGGCATCTATTCATGAAATGATTGACTGTGGATCTTAGTTATATTGGTAAATATGGATTACCTGGTCAGGGACTGTGCGATAATCACGACCAGTGGAGGCACTAGGTGATATGGTTCACAATATTACTCACAACGGTCTAGATAAGTCCACTCCTGAATTCCAGTATCCCTCCAATTCACACCTCTCAACAGTCTTTTCGAACCATGTTCCTAATGCCTAGTCTTTGCGCTGTCACTGCTACTACATTATTTCAGTCTCTTTTGCCATTCATCTTGTTAATTACGTCTCTTTCTGCACATATCGTATGATAACTTGGGTCAAAAAACATTTGTGCCTGGCTCTAATATTCATGATGATTGGACTGACTTCTACTTCAGTATATATATTGTTATAATCAGTCTACATAGTTTGATGTAATGAAGCATGAAAACGTGTTTGGTTGACGACAACAATATCCATCATAATTCAGTACATTAGAAAAACAATAGCGCTACAAAAACTTACATCTCGAATTGGATATGTAGTGAAGAGTTTATAATCTGATTTGGAATAACCTTTCGATTCCATAAACATAAATACATGTTTTAAAATGTCTGAACCAGCGAAACGTCGAATCATTGTACTATGCTTTACATTTGGATCATTAGAACACTGAGGAGGTAAACGAAAACGTAACGTTGTAATACCGTCAACACCATTTGGTGTAGATAAAAATGCTTCAGCTGCTGGTGTTTTTGGTGTAGGTGGTTCCGGTGGTAAACTAGCAGCCATGAATAATCGATGTTGTGTAGCTTTTATTTCATCATTTATACGTTTCTCTTCTTCAAGTTGTTTACGTTTATCTTCTTCCGCTTTAGCTTTGGCACGTTCCCATTCCTTTGTTGGATATAGGTGGGGAGCGAGGTGAATGAAATAGGGTACAATAAGTATATAAAGTTTACAAGTAACTTTAAGAATATAATTAACAAATAATGGAATTGAATACAACGATTATAGCTAACAGTGGAATCCAAGAAATGTGTTTCATCTTATTTGAAACTTTTATTTCACATAAGCACTCGAACCCAGTAACTTTTACTAACAACTCGTATAGCGGAAGTGGCAGAGGAAAGTTAGAACATTTAAAACAGATTCTACCGATGATGGTACAGTGTGAATTAGCGAACATTGAAAGTTCTGAAAAGTAGTTAGTCCAAAATGTGTTTTCTGGAGACCAAGAATAACATTGCATTAACTCGAATAGTCAACATCAATGGTGGGTGGCAAACAAGTATTCAGCGAACTGTTGAACACTGGAGATAGCAGCATTGTTCAAAAGTGACGAAAAGATTTGATCATGGAAATGAGGACCTAGAGTGCTGTTACAGGTATAAGGATGGTTATTGTTTTTCCTTAAGACACATCGTGAAGAGATACTTCTACTAAACGGACCTGAAAAGAAAACTAGACTAGAAGTAGTGATCCTGGGCTCAAGTCCCGCGTGCAGGATTGTGGATGCGCACTGCTGAGAAGTCCTATGCTAGTACGAAAAGGCTGTCCAATGCTTCCAGGTTTTCAATGGTGGTCTAGCTTATACTGACTCGTGAATTCAATTATAATTCAATTTGAAACGATTTCGATCATGCTGTTGTTGATATTTTTGACTGAAATTTGATATATCTTAGTAGGTGCATGAAGTTCCTGTGTGGTTTCCCTCGATATAGCCATCATGATACGATATGATGTAGAATAGACAGAATGTGGCTACCAGCGAAATTCTGGAGGAGCATTTTGTCCTAACAAAGACTCGTCAGCTAGATGTGCGCATACGTTTCAAAGTTAGTGACACTAGCCAATGGCTATCTGGACTCAGTAGTTAAGTGGATAACGCATTAGTATTCTAAGCGAAAGGTATTGGATTAGAAATCTCCTCTTGGACTCTACTGCTAACCAGATTCCATTTATTTGTCATCAATAATAGTTATAATCGTATAACTGTTCAAAACTAACTTATATTTATCTGAAAAAAACCAGATGAAACGTGTCTCTCTCTATATATAATCATTTCATAAAATGAATAATACTTAGGAAAATAACTAACCTTTTCTTGATCACGTCGTAATGATTCTTCATAAGCTGCTTCTTGTTCTTCTAGTACACGTCGTCGAGCAATAATTTCACGTTCAGTTGCACATTCCGGTTCTAGCAATTCCAAATATGTTGTATAAGCTTGCCATAATTCGGCAACAATTACATCAGGTTTTAAACTACCACAACCAGTGCTCACTGACGAGGAATTATCATCATTTTTCATTGATTGTACAGATGTTGTTGTTGTTGTTGATGATGGTGTAAAATGACTGCTACTACTACTACGACGTACATTTAGTAAAGGTGGAAAATGGTCAATTGGTGGCCACATTTTTACAATCCCAGTACCCATTACAATACATAACACTTCTAATTGACCTGATAATTTGACAATCATTGCTAGAATAGGATAACTATCTACCTATAAAAAAAATTTCAAAAGATGTTAGCAACAATATTGATTTTAAAACAATGTACTACAAATTATTAATTGATTGATCATGAAGTACTGACCAATGTAACGTTTTTCAATTTTTTAGTGCTAATTAACTTTTATCGATTAAGCTGCAGGGTAGCTACATTAATTTCAGATGGTTCGAGGAAATCTTAGACCTAGATTTTATTAGTAGAATGAACCCAGAATCTTAAGGGGACTGATGTTTAGTGTGAGATTTGAATTTGTGTCAACAAGCATTACTACTGACAGTCGACTTTGGTTTAGTAAATAGGTGATCCACATTCGAGTCTCACAAGAGGCATCAGCTCTGTTTAGATTACAGGTACGCTTGACTGAGAAGGGTTGCACAGCACGAAACTACAATCTAAAGTCTCCGGTTGCTTACTTAAACCATCAAATGCTCTGATACAGCCGAGATTAGGAAGAGTCAGTTCTTCTTCTCGAAATGTTCTCACATGGCCAAGAGTATACAGTCATTGTCAGGGAAGTCCTACTCACTGCCTTATCGTGACAGGGGTGTTGTTTAAAAAACCGAGAGGACGAAAAGCGAATGTCCGGTGCTTTAACTGAGTTGATGGATATGGAGGATCCACCTAGGGGAGTTGGAAAACCCTGATTGCAAATCAATGGTAAACATGGGTGCCAGAATCCTAAGGGAACAAAAGGTGTTTGATTCTATTGTTGGTCGCCGGCTACCATGGGACTGCATCTCCTGACGTTGCTCCACTGCTTTGTGGACTAGACTTTAGGTCAAAGGCTCGGAATGTTCCCCCCTAAGAAAACCACTTGCTTCGGCTTGCGATGCCCAGGCAGTATCCCAGCTCTCACACAAATCGAATGTTGATGTGTGATGCCTCCTTGTACCAATGTTAAATAAATAAATAAACACTGATTATTATATCACCAAGTCAATTCCAATCACCGAACACCAAATTCATAGAATTAGTTAATCCGATGGTGATAATATATAAGAGAAAGATTGTGTATAAGAATATAATACAGAAAGAAAGGTAGATAGTAATTTTAATTTCATGGTTCAAGGGAAGACAGAGAGTGTATACACCTACACCATTGTGATCAATTCTGAGTCATGTCACCAAGATTCTCCAACCATTGGTTACGATAGTCACGCGGACCCCAACCAAGTAGTCTGCAATTACCAACATGGCTCAGACTAGAAGTTAGTGTGTCTATGGATTGATGCCACGTTTTGGTTTGGCAACGCACCTAACATTCTTCCAACCATCCCTAACACTAGTCAGCATTAAGCGTCGTGGTAATCGGTGTTCAGGCATATGTAACACGTGGTACTAATGGATTAAAAGTATGAATGTTTTATCTACAAAGCTACCATGTAACTCTGTAGTCACATCAAGGTTCGTGTACTCAACTTTCGGCCACACAATCTAATTACGTGGAAGCTACTAATATAGATAGAAGCTTCTTTAAACCAAAATTAGGATGAACAATATTAACACCGATAACCTGATCAATCAGCAGCAGCCTTTGTTTAAATAAAAAAGAATACATGAATTTCAATGATTTTGAATTCAAAACTACTGATTAACTTCAGTTAGATAGATATTAAAGATCGGAAGAAATACTAGATAAAGGTCTCAACCAAGCATAAGACTCCAACTCAACAATCAGCATCCATAATCCTACCAAGGATCAAACCTAGAAAGTTCAGGTTTTGTGACAAGTGTTTACCTCTCTCAGAAATCACTGATTTGATATCTGATTACAATTTATTATATTAAAACGCAATAACTTCTCAATATACTTTATACTTCTGTCTGATTAAGGTTAATCAATGGTCAGTTGTGCGATAGTAACTCACCGATGACAATGGTGGATGTGTTGCTCAATTTCGTGGATTAATTGTAGTTAGACATTAAAACAGTTGGATGCCAGCTCAGTGGTCTAGTGGTTAAGTGCTCGCGCGTGAGACCAGTAGGTCCTGGGTTCGAACCCCGCGAGACGGGATCGTGGGTGCGCACTGCTGAGGAGTCCCACAATAGGACGAAATGACCGCCCAGTGCTTTCAGGTTTTCCATGGTGTTCTAGCTTTAATTGACTCATGATCTCAACCATTGTAATAGAAATCCATTGAGAAAATCAATAAATACACAACAAAGAAAACAATTATTTCACTAACAGTTAATGATGTAATTATTCTTGATAAATTTGGTAGTTTTACTTCAAGCCAACCAATTAAACGTTCTCTAGTTCGTGTATGTGTTATATCCCATGGCCATAAACTAAAATCATGATCAGTTAAAAATCTAAGTAAACCAGATGAGCATAATACTTGTTGACAGAAAACATGACATGCTACACTAGCATCATTGTGTAAATATATAAATAATGGTTTACGCTGTGTAAAAAAGAAAGAATAGAAAACAAGTCTAATGAATAATAGCTGAAGATGAATATAAAGTAAATATATATATACATGTGAACTAAATATTATTCAGTGGTAGGTTAAGCGTTCGCGCGCGAGACTGATAAGTCCTGGGTTTGAATCTCGCGGGGCGGGATCATGGATGAGCACTGCTGACAAGTCCCATACTTGGATGGAATGGCCGTCCAATGCTTCCAGGTTTTCCATGGTAGTCTAGCTTTAATTGATTCATGAAGTCAGTTAATAAATTACTACAATTTAAACAAAATCCCCTGTCTGATTATATTGTTCCTGACTTTTCTGTCTCCAGAATCTCCCAGAATATCAAGGTCATTCAAAAACCTATAAATATCCTTATTTTTACTGCACTTGTAGTGTCGGTTATTATGTTAAGCCCATGTACCTTATTCTAGTTTTCGGACAGGCCAATCTATTCATTTTTCCTGAGTCACGTTTTGATAATGTTAGTTATTCGCTTATCAACTTTGACTGTTTTTATATGAGCGTATGTGCGTGTACAAACCTTAACCTATTTATCACATGCTTAGAATTCTTTCCTGTAACCAAACCTGGCAATACTACAAACATACACTTGGCATATCAATAAAATAAATGTCAACAACTTACATCACACACTTGACTAGTACCAACTGACAAAGATAGAGCAGTTTCAAGGCTACATGTAGAAAATGGTGGTGACATAGTCACACCATCCCTACAATAACGTTGTAAAAATACTATACAAAATTGTTGTGTAGCCAATTCTGGATCTTCGAAACTTGGATCATCAGGAACTAAAAACAAAGGGAACAAATAATAACAAAGTAGGAAAATTATGTTTTTTTCTTAAAGAGAAACATGTTTACGATAACAATTAGATCGAGAGTCAAAAGGTAACATTGATTTAATTTGATACAAGCTTGTTATATATTCGATGATTGGATTTTGAGTTACACTTTCCTATGTTTAATTGTAAATGGGGAGGGGTGGCTGATATTCTTACTTGACTGCCCAGTTCAACTCAACTCATTTACCAGGTTACAGATTAATGTACCTGGCTTAGAGTCACTAAGTGTGACAGCTAATGATACTATCTGATTGTCTAAATCTAAGCAGGTGGTCTTAGTGACCTGAGAGCGTGACCGCAGTGCTCAAGGGACAACTGCTTAAGGTCGGTCACACACGATTTTTCTGTGAGAAATTTTTGTGTTAGCTCCGTACGTGTTGAGGCCTTACCGCCGGAGACGGATAAGAGAGATGTGCATTTTTAGGGTTGACCTTTTCTAACCCCACCCCTTCTTGTGGGAAGGCAGCATCGCTGTCATACTGGTTGTCTGAAGGAAACACCTTACTGCTGTCAAACCTCTGTACAGTCAGCAGTACGACTTCGCCTTCGGACCATGGGTTTGTTGCTTTTAGTCTTACTGCTCTTCAACCGACCTGTCTGGCATGGTAGGACCTAGAGGAACGGTTTTTCCATCCAGTATAGCTCGGTTGCTTCATCACGATAGGCACGCCCGACCATTACGTTAAGGTCGCAACAACGGTCGGGCTAAACCAAAGCAAATGAAGCTAAATTAGAACTTAAGATTTAATAGCTTGAAGTCCATTGCTTTAACCACTACGAAAAAAATAGGATACCTAGCACAATTTTGCATCGATTTAAGGTACTATAAACCATAATTACATAATTCACAGAGAGGTGAAAATTCACAATAATGCAAGGAGAGTATTCCAGAAACATAACAACATAACATTACTATCTGAGACAACTTATTTTGTACCGTCTTCGAAAGATTCTTTCAATAATATTAGTTATCTAACAATTAATTTAAACACACAATTGAATACATGATATATTGGGTAATAAATTAAGCTTTATAGTCAAGTATTTATTTCACTGGTACATAAGTGATCTACATATTAATTGGCTTCTAATCATGTCTATCTTTGTGCACCCAACTGCGTCAAAAGGCAAACCCTCACATGGAATCTTCAAGGCCAAACGAAAAGAGGAAGACCAAAGAACACATTACGCCGACAAATGGAGACAGATATGAGAAAAATGAACAACAATCGGATAGAACTAGAAAGAAAGGCCCAGGAGAGAGTGGGTTGGAGAATGCTGGTCGACGGCCTATGATCGACTGGGAGTAACAGGCGTAAGTAAGTGTGTGTGTGTGTGTGTAAAATCAGTAGATAAATGAATGTATTTGGTTTAATGAAGACCTAATTTTGGACAATTTTTTCTTAAGGATTTGTTTTTGACGAGTCGATAAAACCTTCATTTTCACTTTAGGTCATGAGAATTGCAGTGGTTCCCGTTCTTCGACACTATGGAGCTCATGAGAAGATTGTCAACATTATCCGGAACTCATACGACGGACTACAGTGCAAAGTAGTGCATAGAGGACAGCTGATTGACGCATTCCAAGTAAGGACCGGAGTAATACAACGCTGTCTACTCTCTCCCTTCCTCTTTCTTCTGGTGGTCGACTGGATTATGAAGACTTCGACATGTGAGGGGAAACACGGCATACTATGGACAGCTCAGAAACAATTAGACGATTTGGACTTCGCAGATCATCTAGCCCTCCTATCGCATACATACGAACAAATGCAGATAAAGACAGCCAGTGTAGCAACAGTCTCTGCACTAGTTGACCTCAACATACACAAGGTGAAAACCAAGATTTTCAAATTCAACATGGAGAACAGCAATCCAATCACTCTTGAAGGCGAAACTCTGAAAGTTTTTTACAATCCTTCACATACCTGTGAAGCATCGCCGATAAACGAGGAAGATCAGATCCAGACGTAAAGACGAGGATTGGCAAAGCAAGGACAGCATTCCTTCAATTAAAGAACATATGGAACTAAAATCAACTTTCTACCAACATCAAAGTCACAATCTTCAATACCAACATAAAGGCAGTTCTACTGTATGGAGTTTAAAACTTGGAGAACTACAACAACCACCATTAATGAGGTACAAGTATTTATCAATAGCTGTCTACGCAAGATACTCAACACCCATTGATCGAATACCATCAGCAACAGCCTTCTGTGGGAGAGAACAAACCAGATTCCAGCTGAAGAGGAAATTAGGAAAAGACGATGGAAATGGATAGAACATACATTGAGGAAATCATCAAACTGCATTACGAGGCAAACGCTAACTAGGAATCCCGAAGGGAAGCGGAAAATAGAAAGGCCAAAGAACACATTACGTCGGGAAATAGCAGCGGATATGAAAAGGATGAATAAGAACTGGAATGAGCTGGAAAGGATTGCACAGGATAGGGTTGGATGGAGAATGCTGGTGAGCGGCCTATGCTCCTTCGCGAGGAGTAACAGGCGTAAGTCAGTCAGTCAGCTGCAACGTAGGACCAGGCACGTATATGCATCGGTCCAAGTTGCCATACCGCATTAGCACAACAAGATGAACACCGGATTCATAGGAGTAGTTAATTCAGTGGTGGTAATATATAGAAGAAAGATTGTGTATAAGGAGATAGTAAAGGAAGAAAGAATTAGTTTGTAGAAAGAAAGATCTGAAGCGATTTTAATCTCTTAGTTTAAAGGAAGACAGAGAGTGTATACACCGACGCCATGGTGATCGATTCTGAGCAATGTCACCAAGAGTCTCCAACCATTGGTTACGATAGTCACGCGGACCCCAACTAAGTAGTCTGCAATTACCAACATGGCTCAGACCAGAAGTTAGTGACTTCAAGCACTGATGCCACGTTTTGGTTTGGCCGCCCCTAACTTTCTTCCAATTATCCCCTGCACTAGTCAGCATTGCGCGTCGTGGTAATCAGTGTTCAGGCATACGCAACACGTGGCCCAACCATCTCAGTCGATGAAGATTCATAACCTCATCAACTGATTTACCATCATTCCCTAATACCCTGCGTCTAACCTCACTATTACTTACCGGGTGATCCCAGCAGATACCCGCAATATTTCTAAGGCACCTGTGGTCAAATACTAGTAACTTACGAATATCTTCCACTCTTAAAGGCCATGTTTCGCAGCCGTATAGTAGAACGGAAAAAACCGCCGCGCAGTATACTCGTCCCTTAATTGATAGACGGATATCTCGCCTTCGCCATAGATGAAGTAAGTTGGCAAAGGCCAAGCGAGCTTTTCGAATCCGTGCTGAGATTTCGTCAGACACCAACCCATTAGGGCTGATCAGACTTCCAAGATAAGTGAAGTTGTCAACGCGTTCGACTACTTCACCCCCTATCCTTAGTTCAGGTAACAGGCGTAAGTAAGTGAATAAGTAAAGTTAGTATATTATATATAAGATTTTGTTGATTTGTAAACACATACTTAATGGTTGATTCCATGGAGTGATTTTTTTATCATCAGTTTCATCAAGTATCTCATCACTAGAATAATGGTAATCCATGTCATAATCTTCATCATCCTCCTCTTCCTCCTCATTGTCATCATTATAGTTATCATAGTCATCATCGAATCCCTGAAGAAAAAGACAAATAATCGAAATAAAAATAAAGAAAATAAAACAAGTAGCTAACTCAATTAATGATGAGGACGATGATATAGCGTCAGTTTATGAAGCAATAGACTATCGATTTAAGTCGTGCAGGTTACCTGTCTGGAGTTCGCAAGATAACAGTGATTAGTCGCTGAAGACGTTGAGTGGTATGGTTAAGAAACGGTCATAGTTCGACAGATTCATTTAATCTTTGTCCTTCTCTAGACCTAAAGTTTAGGTGTTCCTTCATATATACCACTTTTATGAGTTGTAATTTTAATGTTTGTTCTTTTTTACTATCACCTCGCCGTGTTGATGCGAATAGCGATATCGACTGATATATATACGTGAATACAAGATAATTTCTGATACAGTAACTCAATAACCTCAAAATACACAAAAAATTAATTCTGCTTTATCTACATGGTTCATAATTAATTACATATGAGTTGTAGAGAACAGTCACTGAATAATTAAAGGATTTGACAAAATAATCACTACTACGTGATAAATCTCAATTCCATTACATTTTTCAACGGAATTAATAATTAAATACAATTATATATTGTAAACCTGGAAGCACTGGACGGCCGTTTCGTTCCAGTATGGGGCTCCTCAGCAGTGCGCATCCACCAACCCACTCGCGGGATTCGAACCCAGGGCCTTCAGTCTCGCGCGCAAACGCTTAACCTACTGGACCACTGAGCCAGCATCCAATGGTGTTAATGTCAAATATCAACCAATCCACGAAATTGCGTGACCATCTTCCATTGTACTGAGGTAGATACCTGTCTCTACCCGACACGGATTAGCTCAATGGAAGATGGTCGCGTAATTTCGTGGATTGGTTGACGTTAGACACTAACACCATTAGATGCCGGCTCAGTGGTCCAGTAGGTTAAGCTTTCGCGCGCGAGGCTGAAGGCCCTGGGTTCGAGTCCCGCGAGCGGGATCGTGGACGCGCACTGCTGAGGAGTCCCATACTAAAACGAAACGGCCGTCCAGTGCTTCCAGGTTTCCAACGGTGGTCTAACATCAGTCGATTCATGATCTCAATCAAAATCTTAATAATCCCCACAACCCCAATACTGATATATATATTGTAAGATGATTGAAAAGATTTGTAACTCAAGTGGATGATTTTAATGGAGTTTCATCCTTGGAGCTAGATGGCTTGATTGTGAAGCTGTCATTGATCTTCTAAACAACATTATCAGCACAGACTTCAGATAGAAGCAAGGTTTCGAGTTTCTCCACAAATGACTGACAGCTTATCCTGTCGACTTGGATAGTGATTGATTATTGGTGACCTCATTTATATCTGAAGTTTGTTTTAATGTTTTTCAGAAGAACAATGGAAGCTTCACGATCAAACACTATAAAGCATATAGAACGAAACTCCACCACAATTATCCATTCACAAGGAATAGGAGTGAAGGCGATGGTTGATGATAATCGACAAGGAACCCTGCTTGAACTAGGTTTCGTGTCACTAGGGTCTCGTCAGCAAGGTATGTCTGTAATCTTAAGAGATTTGATACTCCCTGGCAGACTCGATTTATTGTTAATCAGATTCACAATCAGAGACGTTACTATTGAGTGATTTAGGTTACGGCTGATCTGCTGTACCACTCAGATGTATTAAAGTTGATTGATCAATAAGTGGTGACTAGTGTCATATGTGTCAAGTTCTGTCGATCAAGTTGCAGTGTCTTCACTAGTCTAAGAAACTCGACATCGCGTGCATTACGTAAAAATGTAAGGTGGGAGTTGGAGTCAATCAACCAAACTCCGTGTTTTTAATGTTTAAATGGGAATCATATATGGCATCGGTCACCATTTAGTGAGAGATAACAAAAAGCTGTCATACGCTTGAATATTACAAAGTAGCTTTCTTTAGACAATCATTGTAAACTAGAATGTATTGGACAGCTATTTTGTTCTAAAATGAGACTTTTCAACATTGCTCATCCACGATCTCAAGAAGAATAGAATCCAAGAAAATCTTCAATTCTTGGGGAGAGCGCTTAACATTTAAACCACCAAGCCGATATCCAATAGTTGACATTTCTTACTTCAGTTAACTAAAGAAACTGGACGATAATTCAATGTCTTTAATAAGTAACTGCCTCATAACTGACATGGTTAAACCAAACTGGTTAAAACTCCACACACAGTAGAACTACATACCTCACAAATTTGATCACGAGTAAGCAGAAAACAGAACAAAACAAGAAAAAAAAACTCACAATTTCTGGAGATATGTTACGATAATTGGGTTTTTTCGAACTTGATATTTTACGATTAGATTTATTCTTCGTGGAAGAAGTTTCAGTGATGAAGACGTCAGCAGCAGCAGCAGAAGCAGTGGTAGTAGTGGCAGTGGAAGAACCACTAGGAATATTATCATCAAGAGAATGTGAAGATGATTTCTTTGCTCGTTGTTGTTGTAATGATTTGGAATGGGCATCAACATCATTGTGAGATAATTGAGCTTTCCTTGGATTTTTATGATGATTTAATGGATTTGAAGCAGTCAACTATACATAAAGATATAAGAGTAAATTGTAAGGGAAAGGAAAAGTAAAACAATCGTGAGTGAGAAACTGATATTGACAAATTTATTAAGGCATATTATAATTAACATCTGTACATTTATCATTTATTTATTTATTATTTATTTATTTTAACACATAAGTATAGGTACAGGGAGGCACCAAGTACATATGCGCCACACGAATCTCAATTGATTTGTGTGAGGGCTGTGATACTGCCCGGGTGCCCAAACCGAAGCAGGTACTTATCATTTATCCAATATAACAACTATGCAATACATAAAATAAGAAATAAATATTCTATATTATTAATAAAATAATACTTTCAAATGCCTTGGGATACAATCGATCGTCAGGACAGTTCACTCTCCTTCTTGAAATAATTTCGTACGGCTAAGCGTTTATAGCCTTTTTGATAGAAGTTGTACTTAATGACATTATATAGCAAAAGTCACAGAATGCTGAAACTAAGTTGGTGTATATGAAGAATTCATCTAAGCGAGTTAGAAAAGCTTAACTACAAATAAATTATGTACATAGTGTTGTGACGTGTGGTGTCCGTAATCTAACACCGATACACGGTGTGCTGCGTGCTAACCCTCCAACTGACTTGAGCGAAAACACAAGAATGAGAAAGAAAGTGTACTGGACTATATATATATACCATTCTATCCTTAGGAAATTAACCTATCGCCCCTGATGGAATGCACTTGGACTTGAGGTCACTTGTGATTGCCAACGATCGACCTTGTGCTACTTCTAATTAGCTATCCATATCACATGGGCTTCAGGATTTTGAAAGAATGAATGGAGTATAAATCTACTTTGGTCACTGACTACCAGTGCAAGAATAAAATTTTTGATACTACTACCTTGTGGATTAGACATTGAGGTCAAATACTAGAGGAACTTCCTTAAGAAAATAACTCTCTCTGTATTAATTACCTGGATATGACAGACAACATACACAAATAATAGTGATTTGAAAAATAAGGAACTGATAAACGAAGAGAATTGTTTCGTCAGTTTTGACTCAGTTTTCAATTTCTTCTATAAGACACTTAGATTTATACATACCTGATTTTACTTCGTATTGATGCTAACAGCTTTGAGTGTGATAGATGTAGAATAAAACAGAATAATATTTTGGAATCTAAATACATGTATCGTAAAAAGTCGGGTTCTATTGATTTCTATAGTCAAGGCGTCATTATCTGTTTCAGTCAGTCAGTCAGTAACAACGTGGAACTTCGTACGTACGTACATCAGTTCGAGTTGCCATACCACATTAGCACAGAGATTCAGTTATCGATTCAAATCCCATAGTGGTAGAGGTACTGAAAGTATAAGTAGAGATAGGGGACATTAAGGCTTGATGATGTTATTAAAGGAGTATAGTCCAGTGGAATAAATTGGGAAAGAAAATAAAGGACATGAAGAATTCAGAAGATTAGAGTTTGAGAGAACACAAAGAGTGGATGCACCTGCGCCATTGCAAACCATTTTGAGCCATGTCATTCAAGGTCTCTAACCATCGGTTGCTATCATCTCGCGGTTCCCAACCAGGTAGTCTACACCTACCAACATGACTCAGTCCACTTGTCAGTGACTTTATGGATTTGTGTCATGTTTTGGTCTGGCCGCCCCTAGCTTTCGTCCAACCTACTCCTACACCATAAAACATCGCACAAGTGATTGTAACCTTATTCCGTTGATATGACATTTGATTTGTTGCTGTTTATAAATTATGTTGTCAAGTATTTTCACGATTATTTTAACCTGATCAGGACAAGATGTATAATTAAAACAAATATATAAAAAAAAGCCAACCATATTTTATATAGACAGAGTAGGCTTTTAATGACTTGTAAAGAAGTTCTAATAGGTTAGTTCTTTTCAATGTATGTACTAATGATCTTGACTAAGAAGACAATTAGAGGCTCATTATTAAATCATTCACTCCAAGGTATGTAACAGTTCAAATATCCACAAACTAACTAATCAGTATATGATCTAATACTTTTTATCATACATAAACAGATTACTTCCGTCACACACACACACCTCGCCAGTATTTACCCAGCTTCAAAGACCGGATATAAAAACTCCGAATACTTCCAACGGTTTACTATAAACGATGAATACAAGCACCAGCTTATACCAGTCTAGAAAAAATGTTTTGCATTTTGAAGGTCTAAAGTGTATACTGTACAACAGGCCACTAATGGTTAATTAACGAAGTGAAATTGAGGTAACCTGAGTAGTCAGTACAGTACGATAATGTCAGTCACATATTTAACATCCAAAATTCTTCACTGAAATATTTTAACACCTACGCTAGTCATCTATATAGTTTCATCTCGTACTAATACGGTGATGCCACTTGGGCTAATGCAAATTTATGAAAGGTCCTACATGGATCATGAATAACTACGAGTTCATATTGTACTTCATTTACTTTGTCTTTAGATCGTCACACAAAAAATTTGATTCAAAGTTTATTGCATAACCCCTATTACATAAAGTCCCGACTCTATTCTATTGGATGACACGATCACTAATAGCTTATTCATAGTATTGTGATATGTCAACAAACTTCAAAGTATTAAAACAATCATTTATTTAGCAACATTATGTTATAAACTAGATGACGTCAACATCTGAGAGGAAGCATGAGATACAGTGGACAACTAGGATGCAGCTGAATGATCTAGAATTCGCAGATGATCTGGCTCTTCTATCTCACATGCAACAACAAATGTAGGAGAAGACAACCAGTGTAGCAGCAGCCTCGGAAGCTGCAGGACTCAACATACACAGGGGAAATAAAGATTCTCCTATACAACACTGAATGCACCAATCGAATCACACTTGACGGAGAAGGTTTGGAAGACGTAAAAGCCTTTACATATCTGGGCAGCATCGTTGTTGAACACGGCGTATCTGATGCAGATGTGAAGGCACGGATTGGTAAAGCAAGAGCAGCATATTTACAACCGAAGAACATCTGGAACTCAACAGAACCATCAACCAACACCAAGGTCAGAATTTTCAATACAAATGTCAAGACAGTTCTACTGAGTGGGGAGGAAACCTGATGAACCATAAAAGCCATCATCTAGAACATACAAGTGTTTATTAACAATGTCTACGCAAAATAATTCGGATCCGTTGGTCAGACACTATCAGCAACAACTTACTGTGAGAGAGAACAAACCAGATCCCAGTGGATGAAGAAATCAGGAAGAAGTGCTCGAAGTGGATAGGACACATATTGAGGAAACCACCCAAATGCGTCACAGCGCAAACCCTCACATGGAATCTTCAAGGCCAAACGAAAAGAGGAAGACCAAAGAACACATTACGCCGACAAATGGAGACAGATATGAGAAAAATGAACAACAATTGGATAGAACTGTAAAAACAGGCCCAGGACAGAGTGGGTTGGAGAATGCTGGTCGGCGGCCTATGCTTCATTGGAATTAACAGGAGTAAGTAATGTTATAAACTAGTATTTTTTCTTCATTTAATCAGTTTCATTTAGTATTCTTTTTGTTTTTAGAGTAAATCATAATCTGGGCCCCTACTCCTGGTATTTAAATAATTTCTCGAAGAAAAACAAAACATCAATCCGAATAGTAAATACAAAGAAATGTGAATTTTCACGGTGTCCTGATACTTAAATTAGTGTTCATTTTATAAACTTTTGTCTTACTATCTTACACCAAACAGTAATCTCCACAATGTGATTTGATGATATTTATTTATTTGAACACATAAATATAGGTACAAGGAGGCACCAAATATATATGCGCCACACAAATTTTCATTTTATTTGTGTGTGGGCTGTGATGCTGCCCGGGTGCCCAAACCGAAGCAGGTGGTTTTCTTAGGGGGCCACACCCCGAGCCCTCGACCTGAACGTCTGACCCACAAGGCAATGGAGCATCGCAAGGAGATGCAATCCCATGGTAGCCGGTGACCAACGATTTGTTCATACGCCATTTGTTCCTTCAGGATACAGGAGCCTATGTACACCATTGGTTTGGGACGATAAATCTACATTTACTAGATAAAGATTTGTGTAGTTAGAGGCTTCGAACCACAATTTAAGTGTAAGAGCTAGTAATATTACTCATTTGCACAAAATGAAGTAGCTAAAGCAAGGATTAGAATCTGCGACTTAGAAGTTGAAAGCTAAACACAAAGTAGAGGATATATGTAGACTTCAATTTTTAAAGTATTCCTCGTGTATGTCGATAGAACAACAACAACAACAACAACAGACAAACAAACAAACAATAAGATTAGTGATAATAATAACAATGATACTTATGAACTTACGCATAAATCACAAACATCACCGGATTTTAAACCACAATCAGCTAATGTGAAATTGTCATGACTAGATTTTTGTTCAGCAACAATAACAACATCATCATCATCATCATTAGTGTTGATAGTAGAAACAACATTTGAATGTTTTGATAAAATGGATTGAGTTTTAAACGACTGTTTATTTAACTGGTATGTATGATGCCGATTCAATTCATTGACTAATGAATTTAACACTTCATTCGATGGTATTTGTTCATTAAATAATAGATTATTATTCTTCTTATTTTTATTATTATCATTACGATGATGTTTTGATTTAATAGACCATAATTGATTTGTTATTGGTATACCAGTAATACGATGTAAATCATTATGTATTTTTGATATATATGAATCACATGGTAAACGTAAATAATGATAAGCATAAGGTGAATATGATCTATCAGTATTGAGTTGATCTCTTTCAGATAGATTAATATCTTTAGTGTTATAATTATCATCATTGTCACGGTTATTACTGTTATCATAAATACTACTATTACTACTACTATTACCAGTAGTAGTTATTGTTTGTGCCGGTAGTACATTATCATTTGTTTTATATACACTAATATGTAATACAACTTGTCCATTTTGTTGATTTGAATAATTACTGTTAAAAAAAAGAAATGTGTACAAATGATGAATATATTTTTTCTTCAATTCGAAGAGTAGAAAAATTTTGAAAATAAGAAACAATATCCAAAACATATGGATCTTAATGTTGGTTTAACATCAATCAGTTATGATCTCAATCAATAACTTAATAATCTGTACAACCCTATACTGATGATTACCATGTGCTCATTAGTCACTAACTTCGTGAGGGAATTCTCGGAGTTAGAGAATTCCCCCCTCCAAATGCCCTGGTATGGCTGAGAGTGGGGTTAGCCCGCCCACCCACTCGAAATGCTCTCACATGGCCACGCGTATACAGCCTCTGACAAGAAAGTCCTATTCAATGCCTTCTCGTGGCGGTGGTGTTGTTCACGAAATTGAGAGGACGAAAAGGGAATGTCCGGCGCTTTAACTGGATCCCAAACAATGATGCACATGGGCTACAGTATCCTGAGGGAATAAATGACGTAGGAACCAATCGTTGGTCACCGGCTACCATGGGACTGCATCTCCTGATGATGCTCCACTGCCTTGTGGATCAGACTTTCAGGTCGACGGCTCTGGGTGTGGTCACTGCCTGGTTGAAAATTGTATGCTACCATCGAATTCGAATACTGAAGCAGTTTTTCTGAAACCACGTGGACCATTCAAACTGGCTGCCTTCAACGTACTACAAATTCGCTCTCCGTCTGTCGCTTCAAAAAGCTAGTTTTACGTGCGTTTATCCGGGGACCCTGTGGCATATTCGTCTGGTCTTGCCATTTGTTATTCATTTGAGAACATATATATTGGTACAAGGTACCAAATATATATGCGCCACAAAAATATCATTTGATTTGAGTGAGGGCTGTGATACTGCCTGGGTGCCCAAACCGAAGCAGGTGGTTTTCTTAGGGGGCCACACCCACAGCCTTCGACCTAAAGGTCTGACCCACAAGGCAGTGAAGCATCGTAAGGAAATGCAGTCCCATGGTAGCCAGTGACCAAAAAATTGGTTCATACGCCATTTGTTCCTTCAGGATACTGGAGCCCATGTGCACCATTGGTTTGAGATCACGGTTTTCCAACTTCCCTAGGTGGACTCTCCATGTCCACCGACCCGGTTAAGGCGCCGGACATTCGCTTTTCGTCCTCTCAATTACGTGAACAAAACCCCCGCCACGAAAACACAGTGAGTAGGACTTCCCTGGCAGAGGCTATATACGCGTGGCCATGTGAGAACATTTAGAAAGAGTGAACGGACTCCCCCCACTCTCGGCCGTACCAGGGCCTTTGGGGGAACCAACATTTATTTGTGTTTGTGTGTTCAGATGAACAAACAAATAAATCGAAGACGCCTATGATCGAATACTAGTAACCTAGGAATATCCTTTAGTTTTAAAGGTCACTTTTGACAAATATAAAGGACAGAGCTGACTGCTGTGCAGCAAACTCATCCTTTGGTTGGTAGACACGCATCTCACTTTCACTGCAAGTGACGTAGGTTGCCAAAAGCAAATCAAGTTCAGGTTAAATATCTGAATGATTTCTTAACATATACTCAAATGTGAGATTTCCCGATCCATCATTGTACCAAGACTGTGTTTTAAATAAATCACTGAACAGTAACTTATAAAACTTCCTCGTAGATGATATGCTTTCTCATCGGTTTTTGAAGGTATAAACAGATAAGTAGTTTCAGTTATACGGACGATTAGCAGAAACATGTTAGTGGAGTAGTCTAGTGATTAAAGCACTTGGGTCACAGGTTTGAACCACACCATCTAATTCTGTTTGGAGGAGTCAAATAGTATCATCAAACCAGGCTCAGACAAAAATTGCAGTTGCTACAAGTGAACAAACTTGTACACAGTAGGATAAATATACTAACCTGTTGAAAGTCAAGTGCACGCTTTAATGCACATGTATGGTAGCGCGTATACAAACTGATCAATGAAAACTTATAACGTTACGTTATCGTTTCGATATAAAATGGTGAATATTTTTATAATATCGACCGATCATAAGAATAAAAATCTTAAAACACGTATATTTATGATCTGCCGACTACGTCATCAGTACTATTAGTCGATTCTTGGAGCGTGTTGTATGTTCTATAAGCTGGATAAAGAAAAGACAATGAAAAATTCATGACTAAACCATCCAGCTAAGGGAGAACAACACCTTCAAAATTCTTCACCTGACCCTACAAATATTCCTTATCATGGTCGTTTTTCTTCCTTAATAATTTCTACCTTAACTAATCCAGTGTAAAATTTAACGAACTAATAAACAAATTTACCCAAATATGAAATGCTGTCTCTATTAGTCAAAAACTATAAAATTACATTTACAGTCCAAGTAGATCATTGCATAAGATTAACCAATGGGGAAATTGTGCATCACTTTTCGTATGTACATGTATGTATGTACATAATTGTGAGTGGTAATTATTAACTAATTGCAAAGAGAAAAAAGTAATTCTTTAAGGTTGACATGTATCTAACGCATGACGAAACAAGGAAAGAAGTAAACAAATATGTTGATTTATTTCGGGGATGAAAAGGAGGAGCATCGTGAAATAAACACTTACGAGTAAGGTAATGGATCCGGATTGAGTTTAGCTCGAAGTTTAATACATTTCGGCAGATGTAATGCACGAAGGAGCATCTGGAATAAAATTACAATTAAAAAGATAGAGACTAATTTTTTCTACCAGTTGGTTGGTAAATTTTTAGTGGAAAATCATGCACATAAATAACTGATCCTTGTATTTCAAATATGGAACTGCAAATATGAATAGTTTAAGTATTTCTGGATAAAAAATTTAACGTTGAATTCCAACTCCATGATAATTCATAATACGTTACAAACAACAAATAAAACATTGGTTGTAATTTGACACATTAGTAGCCTGGGTTGCATACCTTGATTGCTAATTCTGTAATTTTAAAAGAGTAGAGGATATTGAATGCTCCATATGGTTTCATATTGACAGCAGCCACTACCTAGATATCGTAGTTGAGATATTATATCGTGATGACCCAATCAAATTATACTGATTGGTGCTTTCGTTTTTTTAAGGTCCGATCATGCCAACCAAGTCAGTTGGAGAACGATAAGACTAAAAGCAATAACTTAGGGTCAAAGGGATAAATCATAATGTTGACTGTATTAGAATATGAGGTCAATACGGTATTTCCCTTAGACAACCAATAATTGCAGAAATACTGCTTTCTCATAACGAAAGGAGGGGTAAGAAACGATCACCCCTAAAAATATAAAACTTCGTATTACCTCACGGGCTTCCATCGCCGGCAGTAGTCTGAAAAGCACCGAGACAATACATTAAAAACCCCTCTTGAAAAATCTGTGCATGACTGACTTTAAACAGCTATTGCTCGAACGCTGTGATCACTCCCCCAAATTTTCAAGACCGCCACCTTACTCTAATTTCTGAAGTGTATTTAACCAGCAAACCATAAAGCTGCATAATATCTAAACTCAAGTACTTGAATGTCTTAAAACGAAGTCCATCAAAGCAATGTATCAGCAGAAATACAGGACCGGAAATATTCTGGTATAGAAACATATGACATAACAATATGGTTGAGCCATGTTATCTATTCGCTTACATTTCTTACTCGATTGCATAACTATACAGATAAATACAATTAAACAATATATTGTTAGAAAAATAATTGTATATCTTACTGAGTTGTCAGAAAAAGAATGAGATCCAGAACTCTCGAAAACAAGGTGCTTCAAGAGGTTGTCTTTGCTACACTCAGTTATTTTCGATTCTAATTCTGGACTAGTTGCTAACTGTATGAGCTCAGTCAACCGACAGTCAATAAAATGTTGTTTCAAAAATCCAACTGTCTCCGTATCAGGAAAAGGAAAACTTTCTTTTACAACCTTTTGTTCATGATCTGTATCATCATTTACAGGTAATTCCAAATCTATTTCAAAATTCAAGATACGAACTGGTCTATTGGAATTAAAAGTAGCTTGATCACTGTCCAGTTCAATAACGGATCGAGAAATCGCTGGAGATATATCGCACCCTGAAATATCAGTATCGATATCACACATAGTTGATACGGAAACGGTCTGAGTCCCTAAGTTATGATTTACTGAAGATTCAGATGACAGAATGGGTCCACCAAGCGGAGTAATAGGAAAAACTGTGGAGTATGGAATAGATTGATCTTCTTGGACAACTGATGATCCTGCTAAAAAAATAGTGAATCATTTACATTTTTTAAAGTATGCAGTATTTATATTGAATGTACAAAATCAAATGAAATCATTGATAAACGCCTACTAAATTATTTGTTTGCAACTGACCACCTGTTGAATATCTATTTGGCTGAAGATAAACAGTGTCTCCACTACTAGAATGAATGGTGAAAATTCGAAATCAAGAAATATTTCATAAAATTACGCTTGGAACTGTCAAAATAGAAAACTATTTTGTGAATAAAGGTTAAATAATCAAGGTACTGTTTCGGTCTTAGCTTAGAACATTACAGAATATTGGTGAGCCAGATCACACAATAGGTGACGCAAATAAGCTGCAAAAAATGATCTCACATCTTATTTTCTGGTTTGCACAATCCAGGTAAAAATCGGTGAACAAAAAGTAATTAACAAAATAAAATATTCTTGACCTTGAGTATGCGGATGATATTGTCTTACTGTGCGAGAATGTTCAAGCCATGCAATCCGCACTTAATCAGTTGGCAATCAGTGTCCGTAGGTATGGTATGTGCTTTGCACCTTCGAAGTGCAAAGCACTTCTACAAGACTGGCAGGATTCTAATCCTGTATTAGTCGAGAAGTTCGTGTATCTAGGTAGCTGCATAAGTGCTGGTGGTGGTGTGAGTGATGAGATCAATGCACGTATAGTGAAAGCCAGAGCGGCTTATGCCAATCTGGGCCATCTTTGGCGCCTTCGTGATGTTAGTCTGGTTGTAAAAGGTCGGATCTACAACGCGACGGTGAGAGCAGTTTTGCTCTATGCTCGTGAAACCTGGCCTCTCCGAGTTGAGGATGTTAGACGACTCTCTGTGTTCGATCATCGTTGTCTCCGAAGGATTGCTGGCATCCAGTGGCAACACCATGTCAGTAATGCAGAGGTTCGGCATCGAGTGTTCGGTCACAAAGACGATAATGCAATTGGTGTCACCATCTTGAAACACCGACTTCGGTGGCTTGGACATGTTCTACGAATGTCGTCCCAGAGAATTCCACGTCGTGCATTATTTGCCGACTCTGGGACTGGTTGGAAAAAGCGGAGAGGTGGTCAGTATATGACATGGTGTCGTGGTATGAAAGAAAGCTGCAAAGGGCTAGCTTCTGTTGGTCCTTCACGACTCCCTAGCTGGGGTCCGAGAGATGGTGTAACACAGTGGCTAGAGACGTTATCAGATATGGCTCAGAATAGAAGCCAGTGGCGATCCTGCTGTTACCTTCTTTTACTTTCTTCATAAAAAGTGGTTGCTTCTTCCTTAACTGTAAGATTTTTTCTGATTGTACCTTATCGTTTCCCCCATTTTTGTTTATTTTTTTTTATAATCGACCGAGTAGCTTAGTGTTGTCTCATACTTTGAATTTGAGTGATATGGTTTCCGACCACTCCGCTTAAGACTACAGGTACTTCTAGCTTCCAACCGAGAGCGGGGAGAGTCAGCTCTACCCCTCCAAATGCTCTCATATGATCACGCACGTAAAACCACTTCCAGGGAAGTCCTACTCACTGACTTCTCGCGCGCCAGGTTGTTGTTTACGAAATAGAGAAGACAAAAGGCGAATGTCCGGTGCTCTAACAGAGTTGATGGATATGGACGATCCACCAAGGGAAGTTGGAAAACCGTGATTCCAAACTAATGGTGCACGTGGGCTCCAGGATCCTAAGGGAACAAATGGCATGCGAACCTATTGTTGCTCACCATCTACTATAGGACTGCATCTCCTGAAGTTGCTCCGGTGCCTTTTGGACTAGACCTTTACGTCAAAGCCTCGGGGTGTGGCCCGCTAAGAAAACCACCTGCTTCGGTTTGGGCTCCCGGGAAGTATCCCAACCCACACACAAATAGAATGAAGTGAGGCGCATATATATATGGTGCCTCCTTGTACTATATTTGTGTTGAAATAAAGTTTTCACGAGCCTTAGTGAAGAGTTAAAAAATTACTGGGGATAATATTTTAGACACTATGTTAGTCAAACAGACTCCTCCGAAATTTCACTTAGTTCTCAAACATTAGCTAATAATCGTTAATCTAAGAGCTGAAACTGATCCACTATCTTTAAAGATCTCAGTGGTGACCAAGAAGGGTTTGTTGATTTCTCTCGGTTTAGATTACCTATGGTTTCTACTTCATTATGATGATACGGCTTCAAAGTGACTTCAGAAATATGTAGTATTCATCTGGATGTGACTAGTGTACACTTTTTATCCCGCATCTATTTATAACGCTACGAATCGTTTGTTTTCAAGTAATAACACCACTGCTTTTACAACCTTACAAAATAGATTACTTCAAATATTATGGGTTGGTCGACAGCCTTGTATACAGGTTTGATAGTTAGAGTTGAGTTGAATAGCGAATTTCGGCTAATGATTTAATGCTTTACCGATTGACCAAAATACAGTTTTATGTAAGCATTGATTTCCAACCACGAATAATTGCATCCAAATGTCGTGCGAGCTAGACACATAACTACTTGTATTTTGGCCTCATTAGCTGTTTGAACTAATATAAATAATAACTACAACAATTACATATGTTTTTATCGGGAAATTAAAGTTTATAAACTCGAAGGGATCAATGCTATTCTAATCCCCTAGATGAAGCCTCTTTCTACATCCATCAACAGAGCTTATGCACTGAGTCTGCCAACCACCTTATTCTTAGAAGTAAAACACTTGCTACGTAGAAGCAGTGAAGAGGACTTCCCAAAGTGTATCAGAAAATTTCAGTGTGTTTACAACATTTGCTATTACCTGGCAACACGTCGCTAATAATGCTGGAAACAGCCGCCGTCAAGTCCCAGTTATGGTCCTCCAGTATTGATATTGCATATGTGATATCTGTTAAACCAGTACACACCTATAAAAGTCAAATAATATTGAGGAGCGCACGCTCAAAAATTTAATTTTCAACTTACTAGAAAATTCTCAAGCATCGTATCCCTGTCCATTGTAGACAGAATGAGGGCTGACGAGGAATTTAGGCAACCTAAGATGGACTACGATTAAATTATATTAATTCATCATGCGCAAAACATCCTAATTGAGAGATATCTATGGTGAAATTGGAAACATTTGAAGCCTTCAAGGTCACTGAATCGCAATACTCAACTATTAAATAGTCCAAATGGTTCAAACGGTTCAAATGGTTGTAGAATAGTAGAAACTTCCTCTTAACAGGCTTCCGTGTCTAATAGCAGGAGATCACCAATACCTCCAGTCAGGAACCTATGTATATTAACGATACTATCCGTAGTCCTTAAGAATATGTCAAGTTGCCTCTTAAAGGACTCCTGGGTAGACTGCCTACTATCCACAAACTATCAGATCGGCAGAACGAGTTCACCGACAATTAGAAGCTTCACTTGAAGCCGCAAGCCTTTGGCAGTGGATTGATGCAATTCCACTCGTGTTACTCGGTGTTCACAATGCAGTGAACGCTGACGTTAGACACATTGCAGCACAACTCATTTACGGAGCGAAACTCAAAGTTCCAGAATAATTCACGGATCCTTCATCTTATTCAATAAATATGGATTTAAATTCTTACATGATTAGGCTTACAAACTCCATGCTTTCGGTTAAACTTATTTCTACTCGACCGCATAACTGAAGTTTTCGTTCACTCTAACCTACGACATAGTACACACGTCTTGTACAACGCAATTCGCTACGTCGACCTCTAGAGATGGCATACGACGGACTCTTCAAAGTCCCTCTTCGTAGACCTAAATACTATATCATCAATACTAATGGAACAAACGATAACGTCAGCTCTGACCATCTTAAACCGTAATAATGTTGATTCTTTTCCTTTACGCTCGAAAGATACGAATCTCACAATTACGAATCCTTCCTCGGCAATCAGGAATCACGAAAAAACTTTGCTGATAGCTAAAAGCCGTCCGAAAACAACGTGCTCGGCGAGAAAGTTAAAGTTTCTATAACATTGGGTCGACTACTACGTGTAGTATAATTTTGTATTATCTCGTTTGTCTGCAGTAGGAAACGACAACCAGGTGCTGTTGAACATAGAAAGCTGTCAGAAGAGTGTCTACAACGGCAAGATCGCTGACTTTAAAATTCGGGCTGGCCACCATTTAGGGTCATCACTACCTTACTACGGGGAGAGTGAGTTGAAGTGGTAAATAAATCTCAAAAACGAATACCTCTGTAAGTTTTCAACGGTTTCACCAAGTAGCCAGTCGCATACCCGGTGAAAGGCATTTCAGAAGAAAATGTTGCTACCACGTTCCTAAACGGATGGATTACTAATTGTAGTATAATTTCTACAACTACTTTCGACAAACGTCCACAGTTTTAGTCACATGTCCTTGCTGATTGTACACGTGTTCTAAACATCCAGCACATCACCATAACAGCAAACCATTCAGCAGTAAATGGACTAGTGAAATGATTCTACAGACAACTATAAAGCTAGCCGATGGCACGACCTAATGTTATTGAGAACCACGCCACCGCAACCTGGAGCCGCGTATGTATGAGATAGGGGTTTTGGTGTTTGCTCATTAACACAGGCCAAACCACGATCCGCAGACAGATGTATGTGTGGTCCGAATGCTGGACCAAGTCATATATTAAGTAGAGGTTGAAAGCGACAGACGGACTCGGGACCAGTTTCATCTAGATAAACAGTTAGCCTTAAATCGCCCAGTGACAAACGGTATTCTCTCGTTCGACTGTATATTAAATAAGATCAGCCTACGACCAGTTCCCAATGGAAGAAGAAGTCCGTAAACAAATCGGCCCAACTTCCAGAAAGCCGTCACTTGGACAACTGTAACAAACGGCGACGATGCACGTGGACCACAAGAATATACGCTGCTAAGTACAGGGGTGCTGGGAATAGTAAACACACAGAAATCACTTTGTAAACTACTCACTTTGTAATTTAATTATGGGAATTTAAATTTCCTCTTTTTCATAAAAAGTGCCCATTTTCACTTTTATTTATGTTTTCCACCTGGAAAGACCTTAAATGTTGTTGGTATGCTTTCTCTCTCAACAATCTATTTTCTGACGTTTTCCAAGGACATTTTAATACTGAGTATATACACATCAGTTGTGTGGTTATTGCTCGTTTTTCTGGGCCGATTGTGGAATTTTATATTTCTCCAGCTGAATCTGGTCCTCCTACTTTTTTTAAAAAGACAGGAGCGTGGAGAAATGGCTCAGGCTATCCTTTTGTTGTGTTGCTCGAACATAACAGGTTCCAAGCATTAATTGCTCAGTAAGAAATTCTATATTCCGCGGCTTTTTATTCCTTTATCGTTTCTGAACTTGCTTGCCATGTTCTCTGAGTTGTTGTGACTGAAAAGTAAACTTGGGGATATATGAGCTTAAAAAGGCGGTATACATTAAGACTGAATCATTTCGTAGTCTAAGTCAAGATAGAGTAAGGAGGACTGACAATGTTTATGTCTAACGAATTATGTTGCATACTGTTTTATACTGAAGTAAATGAGATTGACGGGTTTGCAGTTAATCGGTTAATTGTGTGACGTTCAAAAGCTAATGAACGCAAGCTACGATAGTAAGGCTCATCAAATAAACAAGTAAATGGTTAGGGAATTTATCTTTTCCAGACAAAGATTGAACAATGTTGCATGTATGTGGCAATAAGACCTCTGTTGAGTATCGAGAACATAAGTAATCACTACTGTAAATATACCTCATATATTTAATATCGGCATGAGCCTTCGTCAGTGATGTGGCATTTTTGAAGACACTGCATCAGGTTACAAGACATTCGCCTGATTGCCTGAACGGTTGATTCGCGTGAATATTTCTGTCTCTTGACTATCTGTTCAGGTGACAAGACTGTAATGTGGACAGATAGAAAAGATATCGAAATTAGCTGAGCGATGAAACAAACACGAACAGATACCAAATAACCAAAATTAATTCTGCAACGTCTGCACCTAGACAAATAACCAGTGGTGTTGTGAAGGGTAATGTCTCGGGTTTTTCGTGCCTTATGGTAACCCTCACGCTATTAATAGAAGAAACCAGACTCGTAGGAAAATAGGTCTTTTCACAATATGCATCAACAACATGTATAGGTGCTTCAACACAGGTAATACCTGACTTTACGCTAATGACCAATAACTGACCAGTCGAACTGACTTCTGCTAAGTACGAAGTATTCACAAACAACCTAGCATCAACTTAACAAGGTAGATAACTGATGTAAGCTCTGGGCAGTATAACTCAGCACAGAAAGCTGAGGCTGGTCGTGCATTGAAGACACGTTTGTTAAAGTAAAAGTAATACATAACGAGAACATACTCTCTGAATTCGCATCAGCAACCAACCTTGGGGTGTATTACTTGCAATCCTAATTTATTCGAGTATATCCCTAACAAGGTGTGTAAAGTGCAATAATTGCTAAACTCCATTCTTTGTAAATTCTTTCAAGATTAATCTGAAGTCACTGTTTACAACATATGAGTATGGCCTGTCTTTGAATACTTTTCGTTCTTGTTTTCAAACTCACACCTATCTGATACACCGAAGGTGAGGAGGAATAAAATGGGATTTCACACGCAGAATTCTTAAGAATGACTCACTCACTGACTGTTGCTCGCGATGCAATGTCTTAAGATTTCAGCTCCTCTAGAAGAGAAGGCTTAGGTTCAGTTTGATTCTCTACATAGAGCTCCACAAACTTCACGCTTGCTTTACTTGTGTTACAGTCCGTACATAAGACCCACACAAACACTGCCTCTGAGATAAAGTATCTACGGTCAAAGTTGAAAAATAGAGGGCGGAAACTCAAGAAAGCCTATTCCTCATAATGTGTGCATTAATATGGAAGTCTTTCTTCTGAAATACGCATGGCAAATGAATTACATAAGTTTGCGAAACTACTCCACGAAGCCTTCACTTGCACCGATCTAGCGTGCACGAACGCATCTGCTCCCTACTCAGGCACCATAGACCCTCTATATGTCTAAATCGTATCAGACCCTGAATTTTGTTTCCCTTGTCGTTATCTTTGAAATTGCATCAGATATGCATTAGTAAACATGCATACCTCCCTAATTTTCACATGAGGTGGACAGATAATTCACTGGAGCTATCGGTACTACTCAATTGTAGTCAGCGGCAAGGGACGCTCCATATTGTTCTAAAGACTTGTCAAGTGAACCTCACAATATGCTGCCTACGACCATTGGTCTTGCACTTGTAGAGCTTGTAGACCTTCATGAGGGTAGGGCAGTCCAAGGCACTACCTACACCAGGGCAATGTGGGCTTCTTCCTATCAGTTTACTACATTCACATGCACTTACTGAATCACGACTAATTTTGTCTCATTATACATAGTTTTATTTATAAATTTTATATCCCTAAACTTGTACGTCTACTCCGGTACATACTTGTCTACCGTTTTGCCTTTTCAACTGCCTATCTTTGTTTGGAAATCTACGATTCATACTTATTGTTTAAAGTATTGTATCTATTTCTTACCCACGGTCCATAAATCATAACCGTTTGATAAACTTGTGACATGTTACTTATTGAGATAGTTTTACAACGGGATGTGAAACATAGAGCATAATGTAGGACAACATTTTAACCAAAAGTATTCTTAAAAGATATTGTAATAAAATTTTCTAAATACTTCACTTTCGTTCATCACTTTCATTATATTTCTCTTACTGTATATTGTCCTACTGTGCGGGAATGCCCAAGCCATGCAATCCGCACTTAATTAGTTGGCAGTCAATGTCCGTAGGTATGGTATATACTTCGCACCTTTGAAGTGCAAAGCACTTCTACAAGACTGGCAGGATTCTAATCCTGGTCGTTATTGTTCTTCTTTTTTTCTTTTACTC